AAGTGCATTGGAAGCAACTTCCAGAACTCTAGAATTGACAGAGACATCTCACTACCTGGAAAGTCACCAAAAGTTCTTCTGTAACATTGAGACACTCATCTTCAGTTTACAGGCTCATAGTATCCAACAGACTTTTCCATGAAGCAGAAAATTTCAATGACAGGTTTGCCTATATTGGCAGTTTGTCAGTCCCTTTATTTTGTGTCATGCAGAATATCTGGCAGACTCCTTCATGAAGCAGGAAGCCCAAAGAACCATCTCACTATTAGGCAAATTCAGCAGTCATTTTTCTGTGGCTACTGAATTTCCAGTTCATACAGCCTAACATTAGGCAGTCCAGACAGGAACATTTTCTTGCCTAAATAGCTATCAAACTCCATAAGGAGCCTCTTCATTGCCCATCATTCTCTTGAAGTAGATTGGTGCTACCAGGAGCAGATGTGTCTCACTGTCATGAAAAGTCCTAAGTTCTTAAAACATTTTAAAGGCCATATTCCATAGGTCTTTGGAATGTTTGAAGATTATCTATCAAACTGAAATACACCTTTATATATCTAGAAAACCTATTTAACATGACTACAAGTTTGACTCTTATAGATGACTATCTATTAACCTGTATTTTTTTTTAAATTATACATTACATTACATTTTAAATGAGCTGCACAAACACAATATCTTAATCAAAAACAGAAATATACATATGACAAAATTGATCTTAAATTTGTATAAATAGACCAAGATCCATACCAATGCAAATTATTCAATCTATATCATATCCTCTTTTAAATGTAAACAAACATTTATAAACAATTATTTAGGGAATTTTGGCATACTTCTCTCCAAACTGCTTTCTCCTGTTTTGTTGGGAAAAGTATTTTCTTTTGGGGGTTTGACAGCAACCTTTGAGGGGGTCTTGGTGCACCAAGCCACATTAGTCTGGAAGGAATCTACAGATTCTCATCCTCTGTGGAAACAAAAGCAGAAACTCTTTTCAAAGCAACATATCTTTAGATCCAAATTTTAAAGTCAAGATACCTTTAAAATATATATTTTGGTTTAGCTTAGCAGCCTGTACAATGAAATGTCTCTCTGTACTTAGCTTATTCACAGCCAAAAAATTTTAAGAAAAATAAATTAATATGTAAAATCCAGACTCTCTGTGTATTTTCCATCTTTACATGGCTTATTTTATTTTACTTCTTTAATCTATGACTGTTTATAATTCTGTCTCTTTAAAGACTTTACTTTTTTTTATAATTGTTTCTTTCTTTTTATAACTATCTCTTCTTTCTCCCAAGCCAACGTACATTTATTTGACACTGTGACCCATTTAGAGATCTTTTTTTTATCTGAATCTGTCTGTATTGAACATCTGTAATAATTTTCTGACCAGTAGTGCTTCTATAATGGTAAGCAGTGTGGATGCAGCAGTCCTAGATGCTGGCCCAGCCTCTCTCTGGCTTTCAATATGGCAGAGGTAGTTCACCACTGGCTCTGGGACAGCTGGGTGGAAGCCGTCCTCAACACCTCAACGCTGGGAAATACTGTGCATCATATGTAACATGAAGGCCGGCTTGTTGGGGTTTCTGTCCCTCCTGGTACCCCAACAGCCGGCAAGCAACAAAGAAAATCACACACAGGACTCCATAAGGTTATAAACTGATTGGCCCATTTGGTCAGGCTACTTATTAGTTCTTATGACTTATCTTAACCCATTATTCTGATCTATGTTAGCCACACGGGCTCAGTACCTTTTTCAGCTGTCAGCTTACATGTTGCCTCTTCAGTGGTCTGCACAGGAGTGGCAGAGGAACTTCTCTGCTTCCCAGAATTCTCCTGTTCTCATTGCATCACCTCTTCCTGTCTGGTTTTCCTGCCTATACTGCCTGCCTGGCCAATCAGCGTTTTATTAAAATATGATTGACAGAATACTGACAATTCTCCTGCATCAATCATACAAACCATTTTTATCTGAGCAAACAAAGTGTGGCCTGGAAATATATCTGTATATGGCAGCCAGAATTTGCCATGCTCTCCTGCCAAGTCACTCCTAGCAGACCAGATTCCATTCCCTGCCAGTCAGTGGTGGGGTGAGCATGGTTTCAGCTTTCCTTCTAAACCTGAGTGGGCATACAATCATCCGGGGCCACAAACCCCATTCAAGTGCTCCATAGCCAGACCTCCCAAATGAGACAGAGCTGTTTGTGATGGCAAACCAGGAAGCCATGTCAATGCAATTTTGTGCTGCTAATGCTGAATAAGGAAGATCTCTCTTAAAGGAGCCATGGCACCCCTGCTCACTTCTAAGCAAAGAAAGCCCATCTGAAAAAAAAAATGTGACTTCCAAGAAACTGCACTAAAGTCTGTTCTTTTTTCTCTGGAATTCATTTTATAGCTCTTTCGGCATTTATGTGGATTTGGCTGCACATTGGCACCAATCGGTAGATGGAGGCTAGTTGTTCACTCTAGGCTTCCCAGACCCGAAGTAATCACACAAAACTATATTATTTGCAATACTGTTTGACCAAGCTTAAGTGTATTGCTAGTTAGCCTTTATATCTTAAATTATCCCATTTCTGTTAATCTGTGGTTAATAGAATAATATTATAATATAATAGTGTGGTTAATTTTAAACATGGTTTTGGCCTACCTACTGGTAAGAATCTGTCCAGCATCTGTGTCTGTCTCCTGTGGTGGCTCCATGGATTCTGCTTGACTCTGCCTACTCTCTACTCCTCTTTCTGCTTGGAATTCCTGCCTTGCTCTATTCTGCTAAGCTGCTGGCTGAAACAGCTTTATTCATTAACCAATAAAAGCAGCCCATATACTGAAAGATTTCCCACAGCAATATGTTGGAACCAGAACTCCTATAATAAAAGGAAATGTTATTATGTACAGCTTTGCTATGTATAGCAAATAGCACCTATCAGTAAAATAAAGTAATCTGAAAGAAGGGCAGCACCTTGTGGAGAATTTTCTGTATACTAAAACTTTGGCCCATCTTGTTAAATTACCCCTCAATTCTATGCATAACTTTTCTTCATTAGCTGAACACTAAGTAATGCTGAAGGTGTGTGATGAATAAATAAAAGAGCTGTGATAAAAATATAAAAGCTTTACCAATTTTTTACAATCTTTCCATCTTTTATTACATATTAACATTTTTCATACATTTTGTCATGGTTAGGGGAGGACCTCAAGATGTTCTACCCCTCCCTGAAGGACTACTAGCAGTGTGTGGTTCTGAGGGAAAGGGTGTTATTTTTTCATTGCTATAGCCATTGGTAATTTGTCCTTCCTCTAGTAAATAATTTCCCACCCATGCTGTGGAAAGAAACTAATTAAGCTTAATGAGTCCACATGCAATACAAGACATGCAAATAGAAAGAGGTTTGCTGGGAAGAAAGATTTCAGCAGAAAAATGAGAAATATGAGAAAGAGAAATGGATGGGATAAAAATGACTGAAATTCATTAATTGGAGCTACACAAATCATATGCTGATTCCATATTTTAATCATTAACATAATTTCATTTTGGAAGTGGGAATCGGTAAAGGTTCAACAAAGAACTACAAAGAAATACAGTGTCACGTGCTAAACGCCATGTATCAAAGCAAACCAATCATTGTAAAGAAATTGATCAGTTCCTCATTTACAAGTACACAGCTGTTAGTCCTTTCATAAGGAAGATATATCTAATTCCAGAGATGGGCAGACATGTTATTGTATGCTTGGAGCTCAACACCATTCTTGATGTATTTTTCCAAAATGATAGTAAAAGATCTAAGAAAGACAGCAGACACCAAGGGAGTGAATATTCAGATTGTTATACTACTTAGTTTGCTCTTAGTGGGAAAATTAATTTGTGATTGTTCTGAGAATGCCTTTTAACATTTAACTCTTTCAATGAGTATGAAAAAATGTTCATGGGAATAATTCAAAAGAATTACACTCATGTCTTCTACTAGCAGAAAAGGGATTGTAGCAAATGTGCATTTTAAATAAAGACACAGAATAAAAACACAGTGACTAAGATTTGTAAAATTACCTTTGATGAAATCTCTCCTCATGCTACTGAAGAACTTTTATTCAGGAAATAAAATATGCTAAATTTAGACATTAAAAAGTTGTGTTCATTTCAAATTACCAAGAAAGTTCAATTGCTAAAAAGAAAAAAAATACGATTTACCTCTTTTATTTTCAATATACCAAAGCAGATCATGTAATATTATACAGTAAAAATTAGAGAGCAATTTAAAAGCTTAGCGTTGATTATTTTTATAATATAAGAACATGGTCCAAAAATAATAAAGTGAGCTCATATAATTAACAGTATTTTAAAAGCTAAAACTACAGGTTCAGAAAGACATGTATTCAAGCCTAGACCTGCCTCTTAGTTTCATCGTAAAATGAACATAACAGTGTCTGTTTAAAAGTAGTAATCAGGATTAGATGTACACATAGAATTTGAAAGATATCATTTTATATAATAAATATTTAGCATATTCTATTAAATATAAAACTGTAAAGCAAGGGAGTTATATGTGCCCAATATAAAACTGTATTTCTTACTGTTTTCTAAATTATGTCATGACAATTTGTTGATAATCTTGAAGCTCTGTAAGACAATTACAAATATTATTTTTTATTCAAAGTTAGAAAATAAGCAGTATGTATCTGTTTCGTTTAACCTGAGTAAATTCACAGTGCAGTGGGATATGAAATAAAAATTTGCCATTAGGCATGCAGTACTGACAACTAAGTTATTCCTTAAAAATGATTAAAACAAACTGATTAACACATTGAATTTTACGTGAGACATTTTGTCTTTAAGATGTGCTGTAGTTTCTATGAGTCACACACTTCTTTAATGAAGCTATCCTATGAAGTAAATGGGCTTTTACAAACTCGTTCCTTATGGATTGGTTGAATAGAAAAAACTCAAAGGCCAGTAAGTTTATAGGAAAGGGTGGATAATCAGATGCCTTTATTTGTTTCAGATTTTCAGACGATGTTGGTTGGTTTTTAAGAAGGCTTCTAGCAAGGGACCCAGAAGGCTAGAAAAATTTCCAGATGAAAAGGCAGCTTATTTCAGAAACTTTCACAAGGTAAGTCACACGTGTAGAGGTCCTTGGGGAACAGCTGGGCTCTTGACAACTTGTGGAGACATTTCTTTGATGGATGAAATCTACAGAGGGAAAAATTCATAGCCAGGATAAAACGCTCCTGTTCTGATAAAATGCAAAAGTTATTTTTCTTCTTTATCTTAATCATCTGCTGTAAATCCCAGTTATACTTCTGCAAACTGGAAAGCTCATTTTTATGGCGACTTTGCAACATTAGATGAGTCATAACTCAATTCGATCCATTCTAAGATGCTGAGTGGGTGCTTTTCTTCTGTTCAGGTTAATTGTGCATTTGCTACTCTGATTTAAATGATAGCAGTATTTAAGAAATGACGTATATCGGACAAGCTTTAGTAGTGTTAATATAGATAGCATTAGCTGTTTACTCAGCACATTAACAAGAAATGATCATTAAATATGCTGGTATGTAGATGCTGCATAAATTCCAGGAGTGAACTATCAGCTCCATAGTAACTGAAAGAATATACAATATGACCTTCAAATAGCCATAAATGTGTGGACTGAATTTATCTTTGGTGATAATTTCAAACCACTGTACCTAGAAGTGTGGAATTGTATAGCCTGCATTCCACTGGTTGAATAAGTTCGATACAAATTCTAATTCCTCATTAGCAACATGCACAGTGACTCATAGAGAATAAGTTCCTTCAGATGATATAATGAATTTGTAGTATTTTATTTTACATGGTATACAGTTTTATTTTATCCCATTTTGTTAACTATATGTTACTTGATTAATAAGCTATATAATCCAACTATGAAAAGACTACCTACCATTTATTTACATCTAAATATGATCAGATAGCCCAAAACTGAAGTTGTTGTAATCTTTGTAAGATATTTTTCGTGTTGTTATTGATCTATCACCAGAAAAAAAACAAGTTTGGTTTTCTGTTCAATAATTTGGTTTTCTCATTAGTGAATAGATTTTAACAGTTACATTGCATGTCTCTAATGACAATTTGAGTTGGTATTTCATAAAATGGCCAACATAATTCTTCCTATTTTGATCATATAAGAAAGGATTTGCGTACTAAAATTTCACTGATATTGTGTATCATTAAGATCAGTTATATTTTTAAAACTCTTAAGGCAGACTTAAGAATAAGTTGTAAGCAGTGAATTAAATATAAAGCCATAACATTCATTTTTATGCTTTTAGAAAGAGCCTTACTATTTAGCCCAGAATAGTTTCAAATGATTGGTAATCTTCCTATCTTAGGTCATAATATCAGGGATCCATATTATCCTTACAAGAAAAATTGTGGAGGGCTGAACATTTTATATGTTCCATGAAATTTTGGCTAGAACTTTTCATGGTGATTTGAATAACATATCACCCATATTCTTTAGTTTTTTAAGTACTGGGCCTGAGACTGTTTGCAGAGTCTGTGGTGGTTTGAATGAAAATGGTCCCAATAGATTCATAAGGAGTGACATTGTTTGGAAGTTTTAAGATATGTGGTTTTGTTGGAGTAGATGTGACTTTGTAAGAGGAAGTGTGTAATTAGACATGGACTTTGAGGTTTAAAAAACTCAAGTCAGGACCAGTGACTGCCTGCCAATCCAGATATAGAACTCTCCAGCATCATGTCTGCCTGCTTGCCACCATACTTCCCACTCTGACAATGGACTAAACCTCTAAACTGCAAGACATCTTCATTTAAATGTTTTCTTTTATAGGAATTGTGGTAGTCTTAGTGCCTCTTCACAGCAATAGAATCCCTGACTTATACAGAACTAACTTCAGGGGATGTGGTCTTATTGGGAGATTCATGTCATTGGTGTTCAACTTTGAGAGTTTAAAGACATCATTTCCAGTTCATTCTTTTTGCTCTTTGCTTGGAGTTCAAGATGTAAGTTGTTAACTTCCATGTTTGTCCATTGTGTCTCTGTTCCATCATCTTAAATTCTAATGCCTCTGGATGCGTAAGCCCAAATAAAGTATTTCTTCTGTAAGAGTCCTTGAGCTTTATCAAACCAATAGAAGAGTAACTAGTGCAACTTTCCTGCTCAGCAACGCCACACACTAGTCAACACTCTCCAGTCGATACAACACTGTTTTTTCTCCCAAATAAAACAAGCAAAATGCTTAGCAAGACATTATTTTATGGTTTAACTTACCATTTTTATATGAAAACAATGCATCTTCTCAGGATTCCAACTGCTTATGTAGACTGGTATTTTGGTGACAAATACATATTGAATGTCTGCTCTATGCCATGTCCTCTATTCATGACTCGGGATATAAGGTTGCATAAGACTAAAACATTGTCCCATAAGCTTGAATCTTACTGCAGACAAAATGCATACACACATAACATAGCAAGGAGAGTTACAGAACAATGTATTTCCTATAATTTGAAATTCAAGTAGATTTTATAACAAAGATAACACTTGAATGATTCGAGAAAGAGTGTCTATCGTTTACTGATGAGTGGTCATCTCTAAAAGACATCTAAATCAGTTCTCCTCCTTGCTTATCTTGCTGTTGTTTTGTTTTACTTGTTTATTATGCTTGAGGTCTCTTGTTCCTTAATTTAGTGTTGTTTATATGTATCTGTGATTGGGGTTGACCTTTGGAGGGTTGGATAAGCTATCAGAGACTTGTTCCTGAAACAAACTAAGTCTCTCTCTCTTAGCAGTCATTAATTGCTCATCATTCTCCATCTGGGGGTACAGCTTCTTTTTATTTTTGAAATCATAGTTTATTATGTAGCCCAAGCTGGCTGTTAACTTGGATTCTCTCAATTCAGCTACTTGAGTGTAGAAATTATAGTCATGAATCATCAACCTGACACTTCGCATTTCCTATGATATGAATTTCCAACTTTAATCTCTTCTTATACTAGAGTAGCAATCATGTGCTCTCTATAGGAGTGTTCAGGGATAAAGTGCATGCTCGCTGTGATTTGTCTTGGATACTGCTTATTTAAAATCTCTTCATTTCCACTGTAAATGGTTAGTTTGCAAGAAAATTTCAGTCTTTTGAGATATCCTACCTGTCAGCCTGATCTAGAATTCAGACTCATTATTTGTATGATTTTGTAGACCTTGTTAAATATGTACTATTTTTTTCTTCACTGGGGATTCAGTGGTGGAGAAAATTATTAAATGCTACATCTGTTCACCATTGGTCTTCAGCTTAAATGACTAGGAAACTTCTATGAAATCTAGTATTTTATTGTAAAAGAAAATAAGAATAAAAAATGAGCTGCTACAGCTTGGTGAGACAAAGATTAAGTATTCTAAGGAGCAGCGTCTAAGAATTTCAAAGGTGAAGCAGAAGATCATTCCACAGTTGAAGACAAAAACACCTGGCACAAGAAATTGAGGTAGAAATCCTTGTTATGCCTAAAGAGCAAAAAGAGTGTTTGAGCCAAAGTATGGAAGAAGAAATTAAAAATAAATCAACAAACAACTGGCAAATATACTGTAACTGATGGGAATGTATAATAGGGATATAAACAGGAAATGTATCATAACTGCTATGGTCAAATGTCTATTTTTCCTTCCATTTTCTCTATATACAACAGTGATCCCTAACTTTATATACAACAGTAATCTATAACTTTATATCTCTCCCACAAACATCAAAATACAAAATTACATAGGTATGACATTGGTCTCTTAACAAAACACTTTGTAATAGAGAGTCAAATGATTTGCCAAAACAAAATGCATTCCTTTTTACCAGGGTGAGCTGCAGTCATAGGGGCAGTAGTAATGGCCCTGGCACTGGTGGGCTCTCTCTCACAGGAACACTGGAAAGCCTAGGGAAAGTAGTTGGCACTGATCATGGTGGGCTATCAGAGAGTAAGAAAGACACATTAAAAAGAGAAAGTCAGAAGATATCGTTAATGATATACACACGCTCAGTACAGGACTCTGGGTGAGAGCCACAGTGTCTGGCAAGTTAGCATCACCTCGTAGCTGAGGCTTGAGTATCCTGCCTAAAGCATGAGCCACCGATCACCACAGATATAGCTTTTAACAATACAGTCTAAGGAAGTAAATCTCAGCAAAACATTTTTCAAAGTAACAAACATAATATAGAGTTTACTCATGACATTCACTATGCTCATGATAAAATTATAAATGCTGTAGGGCTAAGCCATGGAAAGGACACACCATGTAGTAAGAGGGGGGAAAAATCAGCAAATGGTAAACCCGAAATGACACATTTTCTGAATTGTTCAACAGGAATCTTAAATTTTATATTTTATTTATCTATTTTCTTTAACAATAATTGGTCCTTACATTTCTTTGTTTGAGTGTTTTAACTTAGATAGAATTATAGCCCTTTCACCCATCAACATCTCCCTTTCTATCCTCCAGCTCCCACCAACTACCTTCTCTCAAATCTCTTCCATGCCCCTCTTTAAGCTGATAACCCCTTTTATTTCTAATAACCTTTGTCAGTAGTATCCCAATGTCAAAAAAGACAAATACTTTGACAGAAAACTACTAACATTTTCTGTAAACCCCAAATTTTTAGCAAGCTATTAACACATCTAATTTGAAATATATAATAACAAGAAGTCACCATAAAGAGCAGGTTGCTTTGTTTGAAATTTAGTGAACTAATTAGCAATAGAAGATACAAAATGATTACAGGACCATTTAAAGCAATACAGAGAAAAAGCTTCTGTCAGAATTCAACCTGCTTTGATCACGCACAGATCTCAATAAACCAAGACGAGAGCAAGCTTCAACAATTTGGAAAGAACTAACACAAACTTCCCATAGAAAAGGAAAAAAGTTTTCTATTCTTAGATGGCATAATTATTTGTTGTAAATGTTTGCCAAACTATAAATGCAAAACCAATAAATTTTAGTGAGCAATAGGCATGGAAATTTTAGTGTATAAAACTCAATGCATTTTTTCACATAGTGGCAGATGGCACTTGGCAAATAGCATTGTTAAAAATCACTCAACTAATATTAGGGCCAACAAATAA